AGTTTTGTTCTTGAGGAGTAACATTCACTTGGGAAGGGAGTGAATGGGGTACGTAACTCAGGGACTGGCTGGCAAGAAGCATGATGAAGTACAAATTGATGATTTGAACCCAGGTCTCCTTGTTGCAGGCCAAGTGTTGAAAGAGTGGATGAAAGGGATATTTATTTTTTTTTTTTTTCTTAGCATGGTGTGAAATTCTGGAGACTTAAACCTTGGATCTTTCTCTTCATGTTTATTCTTGGCTGACTTGGCCAATTCCTACTCATGTTGAGTATTAGACATTTGAACAGCGTCTGTAATGTGCCTTTTTCATTGTAGAAGCAAACCTTGGTTGCTTATCTGTTGGTTGTGGAGTCTGATAGGTGGCATGGCATTTAGATTCTCTTGTGGATCTAATTGTGATTTCTTATAAGATGCCAAATAATTAGGTACAAAAATGTAATTGTTTCAACATACCTATAATTATTATCTGTTATATAAAGATCACCTCAGTGCCTTGTGGTTCCTTAAGTGATTTGCCTATTGCATAATGGATCTGTTCTGGTTGGCTGTAATTGTCTTCTAAAAAAAAAAAAAAGAGTAAGAAATAGTTAATTTGATTTTATGTTAACATTTTTAATACTTGATTTTGCATCCAGTCTTTCATTTTTTTAAATTTCTTTCCTAGGATTAGAGAAAAGGCTTGACAGTTGATATGTGTTACAGTGCAGCTCATGGTTGTTAATCATAAACTTTAGTATCTGAATTTGCTATACGTTATCAGAATAGAAAATCAACTCCTCATCTTCCACAAAGTTCTATCGAAAGAAGAGATGATATAATAGAGGGAAATTCTGGAACAAGATAGTTCTTAAGAAAAATAAAATAGAAACTGTTGGAAGATCATACTTGGTTATTTAGCCATAACAGATGATTCAGAAGACTATATACACACACACACACACACATATATATATATAGTTAGGTTTTGTTGTTGGTTTTGTTTTTTTTTTTTCTGGCGGGGGGGGAAGTAGTTTAGAACCAGGAATGATTTCTGGTAAGGATATATTAAAAGTGATAGGACAGCTAAGCAGTCCCTTACAAAACTTATTAGGAGTAATCAAGTGTGGTAATAGTATGTTAGCATCTAAAGCACGTACCTGTGTATGTGCATCAACTGTTATATGAATACAGTGGGAATTGTCTTATTTTCATTGTGTGAAGTTGTTCAGTGGTATCTTCAAGCTCTCTAGAAAGTTGGATTCAGCAAAACTAAAAACTTTTGATAACCGGGAAGTGCCAGTGCAACCTCAGCAGCTGCTCTTTGACCTGGCAATGGTGCTGGGAGGTGGCTGTATGCATTCCAAGTCTGTTTCCAAGGATAAGTGTATATTTTTAAAGTCAGGAAGGAGAGGCTGGAAAAGAAGTATTAATTTAGGTACCAGTGGTGTTGAATGGATTTCTGACTACAAACACGTGTGGTCAAAAGAGGACAATGTATACTAGTGCCTGAAAGAGTCACTTCTCGTTTCAACAGTATGTTATAAAGATTGCCAGTGTTATGTGTGTGAGCTATTGTGAGCAGTGCGATGGCATAGGAGGGACTTGCATTTAATTACATGTATACGAAAGAGTAATGAAACTTAAATAGATCACCTTGTTCAAGGCTGAAGGCAGGTAAAATATAACTGGTATGATGCCTTGGTAAAAACATTGTTGGAAGAAGTGACTTCACTTTTGACTTTTCCCATCACCTGGCCGTTTTTCTGGAGCCAAATCTTGGTCTTGGTTTGGGTGGCAGAGAGATTAGCAGTCAGCTCTCATCTGAATATTCAAGTGTAAACCCAAGTGTTCTTTTAACTGGGATGATCTTCACAATTAAGGTCAATGAAGGTAGTATGCTTTGCTAACTCCTTCTCTGTTAATTACTTTAGAAGCTAGTCTTCAGTGTGGCAGAGGAGAAATCTAGAGAGGGAAGCATGTTTTTCTGCATGGTGATTGTGGTACTGAGTTAAATTCTTCAGCACAGCAGATATCATGGCAACGTTTTCTATAGAATGTGGTTTCTCTGTGCATAAAGCTAAGGCTTGACCTTAATGTCAGATCATGCAGTGTCATGGTTGAGAACTTGTGGTCACCATTGTTTGTCTTATCAAATTGCCATTGACTTGTCAGCTACTGTTAATGAAACTCGAGATAGATTAATCGTGGATTAATGCAGTGCACCTTGACTAAGAAAATTAAAGTTGCTTTTGTAGAAAAACTGTGTTACAGATAACTGTGTTGTATGCCATAGAAATTAACTGCATGTCTTGTATTGGCTAAGAGAACATGTTGTTAATTCCTAGGTTATGTCCTATTTTCTAAATGTTCTCTCATCTCTGAAGGCAAAGCTTTCAGATTAAGCATCATGAGAGTTGGGTTTATATTGGTTTGTATTATATTGATTGTACTTCTTAGGTATGTATATTCTTGTTTTCAGAGAGCAAATCTCTTCTTCCCGATGTCTGAAAGGGCATATGATGTCAGCAGACAAACTTAGTCCTGTGTTAGTGGGAGAACATAGCATTAGTGGACATCACGTGCTTTCTGCAGAATCAGTTCCTGTAGGATCAAGCGGTGATGGAATTGCTTAGTGCCACTATGCAGTGGCATTTACGTTTTGTTTGAATGGCATTAGAAGTTCTCAAATGCAGGAGAGAAGAGAAGTGAGTTGAAAATTAATTGGATATATGTATATAAAGGTGGTGATTGTTGTTGTAGGATAATTAAAACCAGCATAATACAAGCTCTTACCATTTCATTTTTTTTTCCCAGTAATTAAGATGTGTTCTAAATTAGTAACCTAATTACTTCCAGGGAGGAATTAGCACAGTGTCTTAGAGTAAAGTGAGGTAAAAGCTGATCAGCTCGGCATTGTCTTGTTTGGCTTAGTAAATGACTTATGAGACCAGCAGTATTTGATTTTGACCAGTGAAACAGTCTATTTCACATATTTGTTTTTTTAAGAGGATAAACAGCACTAAAAATCTGGTTGAGTTAGAGTTTTTTAGAATCTAAGTTTTTGTTAGATTTGTAGACTACTTCTGCTGAGTTATCACTTTGATTCTTGCCTGTTCATAGAATATTCCATGTAGTGTTGCTTTAAGCCAATGTGATGAAGGCTAGCTAGAACTCTGCGAAGAGGCCAGTTACCTGGCTTCAGTGGAAAGTGGCAACCTGAGGATTCTAAAGAGTGGGGTAGACGCTTTTCTACCTTTTAGCCTACTTGAATTTCTTTATTCGTTGCTTCATCAAGCAAGTTGAAAAGATTAAGGACTGAAAGTGTATCACAAGGAAAGCTAGGAATCCAAAAAGTAAATGTCACTTGTCCTTCCTCCCAAAATAAAAAATCCTGAGGATGGTTTTAAGATAACAGAACAGGTGAAAAGCTATTCAAGACTGGCTATTTTGACATATTTTGTAGATTGTTACTTTCTTTAAGCTTTTGCCAGTTTTCAAGTAAGGAGAGGTCAAAATGAAGTGCAATGAAGAGCTATTTCTTCCTGATTGAACAAGAGAACTCTGCATCTGATTATATGATGTTTTGAAGCAGCAGTTAAGAGTTATTTTGGCTTATTGCTTAGGAAGTAATTTTTAGGTTGAACTCTTTTCTATCAGTGTCTTGTTTAGACTAGTGAGCTTATTGCTCTTAGGGAGTAGTCATATGATTAAGGTTGAATAGTCATGATACATTGTTTTTCCTTAGATCTTTCCTGGTTAGTATCGACTTAGAGTTTTGGCACTGCTTTTTTGGGCAACTTTGTTACTCGTTTTCCTGCATTCTTTCCTTCTGCAGACCTTCAAACATGAGTCTTTCTCATAGTTGAGTCTCTAAATGGGGAAGATGGACAACAATGGGTTGTGGAGGCAGCCAGTATCAGCATGTTCAAAAAAGGGCTTATGTAGATTCTTGGACAGCAGATCCATTGACAGATACACTTAATGGTTCATAATGGAATAGTTAAGGATGTACCATCTGATGTTCTTCAGCAGTTGAACTTGTGGATGCACAAGTTATCCCTAAACAACATGTCTGGTTGCCACTGTCAGAATTCTGGGCTTGGTGGACCACTGGTCTGACTTAGTAGGACATTTCTATGTTATCCTAGACAGCCAGAAACCATGTTTTACACCGTACTGAAATTTGTTCTATAGAAATGTGGTACATTATCCCATCCAGATGTTGTGCTGTACTGGGCTACAATTGTGTAACAAGCTGAATAGGGGGTGTTGGTTGTTTTTAAAAAAGGAGGAACTGAAGAGCTGGGAAACCCCAGCAAGGGATTAATGAAAATAATATAACAACAATATAATAATACAATAACTGTGAACACCTCTCTCCACATATGTTATGTTTGGTCTCTTTTGGGGTGCTGTGTTGATGGCTCAGTTTTGATCAGTGGACAATGTGCAAAGCTAGGTGTGGCCCACTCTTAAAAATGCATCTGCATGATGCTGACGTGGAATTTATATTATGTACTTGTTTGGAAAAGTAAAGACATCTTAGAAGCTAAAAGTCTCGGTTAAAGGTGGGTGGGAGGGGGCAATCTGCAGAAGTAACAGTTAGGCCTGCTTATTAGGTACAAGCTCTTTTTGAAGCATTGAGTGTGGTTTCCATGGCTGATCAGTGGTGGTTCTTAATTTATAAACCTTGTATGAAGTAAAGCGTTGTATGTGTTTAATTCTAATAAAAAGTACTAGGGTGATAACTGAACAATATAAGTTTCAAGAATAGGTTGTACAAAATCTGAAATAACCACTTCTGGAGTAGTAAGGTATTAAATATTTGTATATATGTTGTTTGGTTTTTTTTTTAAATTTTACAACTTGAGTTGCAAACTTGAATTTATGTATGCTTCATTCCCTAAGCCAGTCTCTGACTTCTGTTGGTGAGAACTTCATACAGTTTCTCCTTCTGTCAATATTTTTAAAGTCTTTTCTATACAAATATTTAATGAATGCAGCTGCATACCTAAGTGGCTGGGTAGTAAGTGTAGGCTAGTTTGTGTTCCCTCTTAAGTGCACACTCCTGTCAAATCTCAGAAAGATATTTAACACTGGTCTTTTGGTATTATGTGTGCTAGTGCTGCTTATAACTTCTGTAGTTGGGACTTCATGTGGTAATTAAAATTCCATGCAAAACCTCAGTTCTTGATTTCTTAAAGCTAATTTGAATTTGAGTATTCAGCCTTTAAGGTATGTAATATGACTAATCATTGCCTGTGAAACTTAATTACTAATTGTTTAACAGTTTAAGTTGTGCTTTTGACACTTTTTGGCGAGTGTGGGGTTTTTTGTGTTTTTTGTGTTTGTTTTTTTTTCATTCTTGGATAGATTTGTGACAGGTGGCACATCTGATTCTGGCTACTTTAGAAGAAATTTAGATTGCAAATATAGCTCTGGGAAATCTTGCCAGATTTGGTGATGTCAGGTTTCTACCTTTCCCTGCTGAGCTCCTCTGCTCTAGTTCATCATTTGTAGAATTAGCAGAAGTTGTTCCTTGTTCATTTCTGTTCATAGAGTAATATCTGCGGGAGAGGACCCAAACTAAAATGCTGGTCTTAGCACTGAAGTGGCTGAGGTGTCAGCACATGTCCCCTTCTGCCAACTCTGCTTTGGTGTCAGTGACTTCTGATGGGAGCAGAGTCTATAGCTGAGGATAGTAACTTAATCTGCTACAACAAGATTTGCTAGAGCTTGTCTATCAACATCTTTAATTTAAGCTTGCTGTCCCTTCAGCTCAGCCTCTTACGCAGTCTTATTTTCTTCTTTATTTGGAAAAAAAAAACCAAACACAAGAAATAATAGTGGGCCTTATTTTATGATCTATTTGCAACAAATTCCATGTCTAACTTCTGACTTGTATTTTGAGAAACCCATAAACAATCAAACATATTGTTGCTGACAGTTACACCATTTCAGATATCAAGGATTCATATATCATTACATTAGCATATTCTTACAGGTATATTTCTGAAAATTTTTATTTAGCAGGTAAAATTTGCACTGGCTTTGGTTTCCAGACTTGCAGTGTAGAACCATCCAGAAATGCTCTGCATCAATCCAATATACACCACCACAGGGTGTGCGGAACCAAAAGCAAATTAGAGACATTGTGAAAAGTGGTGAGACCTATTACTCAAAGTCAGACTGAAATGCTGTGCATGGGAGCTATTTGAATGGGTGCTTGAAGTTTAGAGGAATAAGAAAGCATTAGAAGTATGTTTATGGGTTTAGCTTGTTAAAACTTAAAATTCTCTAATAAATACCCCTTGTTTGTTTTCAAAATTCCAGAACTGGTCTTTAAAGAATATAGGTGCATACTTATAATAATTTGAGTTAGTGGAGTGCAAAGATATTCATAAATCTTATTGACCTCAAATAATAGATTCTGATTTCAATAATTAATTTTTTAGGTGATTTTTTTTTTTCTGGAACAGCATATTTTTAATCTCTGAATGTTGACTAAATATCTGGAAAGAGTTATATCTCTTTTCATAAATGTAGAATTCATCAAGAACAAGGCAGTTATGAATGTTTATTCTGTTGGATGTTCTTCTTTAGATAGATCTGAGTAAATAGTTTTCTAATATAGAATGTCAGCTGGCTTCAGGTTGAAAATACATACTAGATAGATAAGTATGTTGCAACCAATCGGTCAGTTGGAAAAGGGCGTGTGAAACTTTTGGTTCAAGTTCCAAAACTCCTGGAAGTGGTGGATGAAGTCTGACCATCTGTGGGATACCTAAACCTTCCTAGTTTTGCTCTATTATTTCTACTTTGCAAAAATAAATTTTGTTGTTGCAGGCATTGTAGCCTTGGTAGTGCTGGAACAGGATTCTTTGCCTGCATCACTGAGATGATTTGCAGTCTCTGGGGACCAGAGAAGTACAACTCTTCTCAAATCCTTTCTTTAAATTGAGTGGAATAAGACCATTTTATTTAACAGTGTCTCTGGTAAACAGATATGTCAGAAGGATAAAATGGTTGCTTTGAGAAACTTTTTGCAGCTTTAAAGCAAAGATTGTAGACTTGACTTGGAAAATTGAATGCATTATTGTAAGTATTGGGGTTCCTGGGTGATTAGTCTGTGGTTTCCACTGCTAATCACTAATGGCTATTGCATTGATTGTTTTCAAATTTTCAAATGGATTTAAGGTATAATCTGACCTAAATTGCGTTGTACTTATTCAATTTGAAGTGACAAAAGAGAAATAATGGATAGTAGATAATCCACATCCCAAAATTTGTTTCTGTTTCCTAAGTAGCTGATGGTAAAAAGTATTGATAAAATTTAGAAACTCCATCGAGACACACAGAAAATCAGATATACCTGCTTTGATTTGCCTCACTAACACGGTTGGTTTGGCACTAAAGATTAAACCCAGTGACCGGACTTGCCAGTTGATTGCTCTGAGTAATTGGCATGTGAACGGTGTTGCAGCTCTTGTTCAGGAGGTCAGTATTTTTCTGACATTATTTGAAAAAAGTGACTGTTGTTTTATATGCTCAGGTTCCAAACAAAATGGTAAAGTCACTTTAGTGTTCTTGGCTTGTTCAAGAAAAGTCTCTGGGTTTTTTTGGTTGTTTCTTTTTTCTCCCTTACTGAAAAAATCTCAGTATTAAATGCTTCCTTAGGGCAAGAACCTATGTTCTCACTCTGCAAAATTAGAAAGCATAATCTTGGAACCTTGTTTTTTTCCCTAGCATCACACAGAGTGCACGTAACGAGTGCCCAGAGGGGCGGTGGAAATTAAAGTAATGTGCAGAGCTGCTAATAAACTTCTGTCTGTGAGGCATTAGTACAATCATCAGAGGAGCTGCTTTCCAGTAAGGTACCAGTGCTATTCACAGTTAGAAGCTGGGTTAGAAGTTGGGCTAACCTGTTAGGCTTTTTAGAAAACTAATACTGCATCATATCTCTGCTACCCTTGTCTGGTTTCTAGGCCTAACTAAACTATAAAGCCCAAAGACTTGCTTTTGTACTTCTGAAAAATGGAAAATCCAGGACTACAGCATCTGCTGTTACTTTTTGAACTTTCTAACTTTTTAACAAAATTGAAATATTTTCAAAACTGATTTTACTGGCCTAGAATGTGATATTTCAATTCTCAGTTAAAATTCTGTATTATTTTCAATCTACTCAAGTTTGCCTGAAAGACCATATGAAATGGCTTCATAATTAGACTATATTGTAGCTGTAGGAACAATAGTTGCATGTTCTAGTGAGTAAAAGGAATTTAAGGTTGGTACCTGGACAGTAGCCTACCCACCTGGCCAGGACCCTGCAGAGCCACACTGCGGGGTGTGCTGGAGCGTCAGGGAGGGAGCAACCTGTTGTCTGAGAGCCCCATTCTCTTTAGTCATGATTAAAATGCAGGTATCTGAGCTAATAAGTTGTCAAGAACTTGAAGAGCCTGGCTAGCATAGCACAGACAGAAATTAAATTCAGCATGGTTTATTTATTTCAGGCCACTGCCAATTGTGCCTGACCCAGGACCTTCACAGAGTGTCACTTCGTTGGTTTTTTTTTTTGTCCCTGTCTTGTCCTCTAAACTCATATCTGCAGGCTTTGTCGTTATGCAAAGTTTCACAGTCTCTTAATGCTTACTGGGAGCATTGACTAAAATATTTTTATTGCAGATTCAAAATGTATTTAGTTCCAGCCAATGTACTGAGTGGTACTTTGAAAATTGTGCTAGAAAACTGTTTTTAAGTGACCTGCAGTTATGTCAGAGCTCTTGATTATATTCAATCACCTAGTCCTGTGGTGAAAAAAGAAATAATTAGTGGTTGGAAAAAAATCATTGAGACAATCTGAGGTCCAGATACCTCCCCCCTTGAGCTGGGGCATGGAGGGAGCGAACAGCACTGTCCTATCAGTACTATTTAGCTGCTATAGCTGTGTGATGGGTTGACTGGAATTATATCCTTGTATTTGGATATAGTTTTCAGTTTATGCAGCTATTTGGATCCTCTTGTGCACAGTCCTTAATAAAATCTTAAAGTGATGAAATTTAAGTGGTTTATTTTTGTAAGCAAACCAGTTTTTGGTCTAACTTTTGTTGAATAGCCTGTGTTTCTTTTAATTAAAAATGCATGATTTAACTTCTGTAGGCTGTTCCTTATCTGTACATCCTTTTGTGTGTTTCCTTACTTTGTTTCATGTGTAAACTTTGGTGTGTCTCTATAATTTACACTATTGATCTTTAGACCCTTCTAGTTCTTGTAAGAAAATGAGCAAAACCTTTTCTGGGTGAAGGTGTGCATTACTTTCTTTGTATAAGAGAAAAACTGAAGTTCCCTAACTTCTATAAATTACGTTGATTGATTTATCTTAACAGAGACTAGTCTAATCTTGTTTTTAGAAGAAAGGATCAAGTATTTTCCTCATAATGTGACCTAATACATTTGAAAAAATGCCACTAGTGACAGATAATTTGAAATAGTCTGCAACAATTCAGGTAGCCATCAAGAAAATACTGCTTACATTGTAGCCTTATTTGCATTGGGTGAAATTATTGGATTGCATTCTAATTGATTCTATAATTCTCATTTTTGCCAGAGCCCCAAAGCTCCCATTTGTAACTGTCATCCACAAACCCTAATCCTAGTCCTAAATCTGTATTTGTAGATTTCTTCTGAAAATTTGTAAATTTCTTCTGAAATTGAGAAAGCTGATAGCGTTCACTGCCATCCTGATTTTTATCTGACATGCAGGGAAAGCATGTCTCTTAATTTCTCTCTGTTACCTTTGGGTACTTCTCTGTTCCTGAATCATTTGTTGCTGATCACACCGCACCATTTTGGTGCGGTTTTGGATTATATTTGTTCTTTCACTTAAACACAAGAGCACGTGGAATTTTCTTGTATGCATTTTGTCTGATTTTTTTTAGGTGTAAACTGGCTCTTCTGTGCCTAGGAAGAGTTGGTAACAACTTAGCTTTTAAAAATCTGTAACTGGTTAAAAATTGCAGTCATTTTCGTGATGAAGAGAAACCAGTGTTTATGTGCAGGTCATCTCACATTAGAGCTTTTTGCTACTGAGAAGGGGAGTTATCTTTCTCCTGGGTTTGTTTTCTGCTGTTGTATTCCACTAGGCTGGCTCGTGGAGAGATCTATTGATGCCAAAGCCAGTGTAAAATAAGTGAGGAAAGGGATTTGGAGTAAGGTGTGGGTCGTCTCCATCTTGCAGAATCATATCCTAAGCTCAAGTGGGAAAGCTGGTAGGAAGAAGTAGAGGCTGTAACTCGAGATTGTTCTGAAACACAGATATGTGTGCGTGTTGAGGCAGTGGGTCATGTGTAGCATTGCATCCTGAAGTTTTTCAGCTGTGCTGCTCCAGTGCATTGTGAGAATTTGCTGCAGTGAAATCTTGAAAAATTATGTTTAGGAAAAGTAGTTTTCTGTTTCAGCTGGTCGAGTCTCCTCAAATTACTAGGCAAGAGCAGGACCAAGTATTTCCAAGCTTTGCAGTGACAAAGCGTGGACATAGAGTAACTAGAGTTCTTCCTGCCTGTCAGACACTAGAGATGGGTATGGTTTGGGTCCGGACAAAGTTTCTCAACTGAAACCCCTTCTGTAAACCTGACTGTTTCTTAGGGTAACTGCAGTGAAGGTGTTAAGTGTGTTGTGCTTTTGTTACAGCTCTGGTGCTTCACAGTGGTATTCAGAGTTTTTCTCTGCAAAATTTGCTGCTTTTTCCTGTTGCTGACAAGGTAGATTCACCAGACTAGGTTGTTATTGTTTCTACACACATAACATTCTCAGTTTAATTTTCATCACATTTCTTATACTTGACTTGGCGAAAATACTCTTTTTCTTCATCCCCCTGTCTTCCAAAGGAGGCAGAGTTTGTCTTCCAGTGGACCACGGCTTTCACTCTTTGCTGTTACTATTTGGCTGACCTCTTTGATCTGAAAAACCTCATGTAAAGACAGTGGCAGATTCCTGAGCAGCGTATAGAAATGCTGATATTGGCACCAGGCCCTGCATCCAGTTAGTGCTCTTGCTGTCTGTTTTGCCACCTTAGCCTTGCCCTTTGACACTGGATTCTGCTTTTTATACAAGCAGGTCATTTAGAGTAGTTCGACTCTGGTATTATTTTGATTATTGCTTGAATGAAAAATTGCTCATTTATTTTTAGACTCTCCCCCTTTTCCTCCCTTGCATTTTCATTCCCTTCTCTGGCTTTTCTCAGGGAAAATCAAAATCCATTTTTGCTGGCATTGATACTTGTATGCAGCTTCTGGTGGTGGTCTGCAGAGCAGCAATTGGAGTCTTGACACCTGGTTTTGCAACAGGGCAAGGCTGCCAGTTTTGGGGCAAAAGTGCTGAGAATATTTCAAGCTGGTCTGACTGCCTCACTGACGGTGACTGCTGGTATTTCTGGCATGTTTTAGTATTCAGTTTTGCTAGGGATAACTTCATAATTGTAACACTGTTTTCTGGAATGCTTCAGTGTCATAGTGTGTTACCAGTGCAGTCTTGTACATAAGGCTGGTGTTAGATTACTGGTCTGTCTCCACCTCTAGAGGAAAACACCTGTCTGTGTGGTTTCTGCATGAGAGGGCAGCATCCAGGATCGTAATTTTGCTGAAGGATTTACAAAGTAGTACTTCCACTCAAAAGTTTGTATTTTTACAGTTATGTAAATGTGAATTTAAGAAAGAAGTATCTTAAGCCCAGAGTGTTATGGTTCTTTTTATTCAAAGGATTAGTGTAGTAAAACCTGTTAAAGGCTAATTTACTGAAGGCTTTATTCTTTAACCCAAAGTAGAACTGCCAAATATGCAGCTTACATTCTTAGATAAGCTTAATTATGGGAAATTTGGCTCTAGGGTTTTGAATTTAATAGCAGTTTATCTTCAGTTGGATGGCATCAGTGTGTTCTTATGAAGCTTAAACTTCTAATAAGTTTGTTCCAAAGGAGCCAATAGTATGGTTCTTTTGGAATGAAACTAAACAATGATTAGTGAAGATGCTGCTACCTAAAGTGGCTATAAATGGCACCGTTTAAAGTTTATGTGATTGGGATTATTTTGGGACACAGACTTCTTACTTTCTGATTCAGAAGTACCCGATGACCAAGTTCTAGATACTGGGACAATAAAGTATTGTGATGTTTTCTTTGAAGAGATTTATCACCTATGTTGGTGTAATGCATATGAACATGTTTGCATCACTGGTATGTAGAACTTGTACAAACTTAATCTTTAGGTATTTGTTTAAGGGGTTGGGTGATTCTTCGAAGTATTGCTCAACAAGTTTTTTGAATGTATTCTTAATGTCCTGTGCCCTTTTGTATAACACCTATACAATTCACTGAGTGGTGAAACGAAAAGATATCCCGTGTTCATCAGTTCTTCCTGTCTTCTCATTTCCCATTACGAAATATCTGAATTACTGAGATATGACATCAGCACCAGGAGGAAAATTTTGTTGTAGAGAAGTTTCATTATCATGCATCCATTAGATTTTGATGCACAGTCATATCAGGTAGAAGTGTCCAGATATCATAGCTCTTTTCTACTTTTCTTTTGAGAAACTTATTTTGAGTTTTATGACAGTAAAAACTACTCACGAAAGGTAAAGTGGGGCCAGTTAATGAATTTTGACTTGTACAGGGAACAGACTGGCTATTCCTGAATTGTGATTTCCATTTTCTATTTCTGTTACAATTTTCTTTATTGTAGTGGGTAGTAGTAGGTAATACGAGTTTATGGAACTAGTTTTAGTTGTTAGACACTTCAGAAAGTTCTAATGATGGGGCAAAATTTATGTTGGGTTTTTTTTTTTTAAAGAGTAATTGTGTACACTCGTAAGTACAAGCAAGTATAAAGTATAGGTTAACATACCTTTCACTGTTTATCCATTTCACTGGCACAGAACATTCAAGATGGTTGAGAATTTTTTTGCTTATGGAAAGAACTCAGTGTTCAGCTTTCAATTCTCAAATTAGGGGAAGGAAGAAGGCTTTAAGGATGCTACCAAAGAAGGAAAATGTTTTTAAACCAAGTTTTTAACATTACTGTTTGAAGAGTCATCTTCAGCTTGATTAGTTTAAGAATTGTGAGGAAATACTTCCTCAAGTTCAAGTGTGTTGGAACTTCATTGCATTAGAAGATTCACTCCCTGATGTTAGGTAGAGAGATTTCTGCTGAATTCCATCTTCCTAGGTGTTGAATCTTGGCGTGATTTGAGAGTTCCGTGGAGTGACTTACATTACTTAGTTTACCAGTGTTTTTCCCTGATTTGTATAGTGATGTTTAATGTCTTAGTTCAACAGCTCAAATGATAACGTGGGTTTCTGGACAGAATTATTGCACTACTACTTATGAAATAAGTTTGCCTCTCTTCACATGGAAGACAGTCTTACATTCCTGTGAGTTTGACAAATTTCTGATGTTTTCTTAATAAAAAGAGTATCTGCTTTAACAAGGTTCCAGAAACTGAATGTACTTTCTTTGATTTAGCAAAAGAGTTGAACTGTGAAAGAGCTCTGCAGCCACAGTGCCTATGTTCTTGAATTCAATTTGCAGAATTATGTTCCTCTCAGGATTTTATCTTAATTTGTGTAACTGATTGCTAACATTAGGCCCAAGAGTCCACTTACGTTTAATAGGAGAGAAAGAAAGAGACTGTTTTTATAAGGTACAGAAGGTCTCTAATGTCATGTCTTTATAGCCTTTGTGAAGCTTTCTCATGCATTTTTATTATGAAGTCTAGTAATGTAGGTTATTTACAAAGAATTTTATTTTTCACATCCTATAGTGAAATTTTGGTAATACTTCACATAAAGTATTTTTCTACAGGTGTTTTCCTCATGACCTGTGTTTTAAGTTACTGTGTGGTATAAGTTTGTTCAGCAGTCTTGCCTTATAGTATGACCAAGGAATGAGCATGAGTGTTTCAGTCATGGTTGGTGTTGTTCCCATAAGTTTAACAGATCTTTGTGGTAAATATTGGGAAGGTTTGAAATAAGGGTGATTTGTAATTTTCGTCCATTTCCAAGTGTTTACCCATGTGTGAATTCCATTGTGTGGGTGTACGTATGCCTGAGGTAGTAGTACTTTTATTTCAATTAATCTTTGACCAGTAGGTGTACCATTTTATGCCTTCTTCAGCAGGCACTCAGCAAATTAAGATTTATCCCTTATTGCTGTCCACTGTGTATTAAAAAAATCAACTCTTTGTCACAGATTCTCATCTAGTGTGTTTATACTATTTGCACAAAGATAATAGGTTGACAATACGCTTGAGTATCTTCAAGTAATGAATGTGCAGAGATGTTCAGACTTTTCAGTAGGACCTCCTTTAATAGTGATCTCAAGACATGGATGTTCAATTTATCATTTTTGTCTGGGAGGAAATATGCTTGAAGATAAATGCAAGTTTTGTGGTCCTTTACACCCACAGTGTCTCAGGTTGTGCCTCTTAAGAGAAACCAATAGGTTATTTAACTGTCCTGTTTACATCATCAGGAAGAGATGCAAGTGGTTGTAGGTGTGTGGTTGCTTTTTTTGTGGTGGGATTTTTTTTTGTGGGTTTTGCTTGGGTTTTTTAAGATGAAAGTTCTTTCAAAATCAGGAGCTTTTGGTGTGAATTCATCCACTTCCCCTGCAAAAAATAAAAAAATAATAATAAAAAAAGAATCTCAAGAGTATGGTTCCATGAGATGAGATTCCATTGGAGTTGGCGCTCTGCTGCAGGTGGGGGGAGTTTCTGCTTGTCTCTGTCCTCCCTGGTCTCAACCACTTGCTTCTGCCCCTTGTGCCAGTCCTGTCCTTTCAGATTATTGTGAGCTGTTTTAGCATGCTACTTTGACCAAAAACAAACAAACAAAAATATTTTGTAACATTCTACAGTCTTGTTGAATTAAGATGACTCAGAGAGATTTGACAAGCTTCAAAGCAATCAGAGAAGGTATTGGCTGTACATCCCAAAAGTGGAGAGGATAAGGGAGGAGTCAAGAGAAAGACTTAGGAGACTGCAGTCTTTGGGAGCAGCAAACTAGCCCAGCATAACAGTCCAAGGAATCGTACTGACAGTCAGTCTATTTTCTGGTTCTTGTCATAAATTCATGAACTATGGGATCTCTTTTGAAAGGATCCAAAAGTAGGGCACCCTTGAAAGCCTAGTCAGCTTTGTTCTGTGCTAGCAGTTGAGGACTTAGCTGTGCACAAACATATGAATTACGCGATTTTGCTGAAGAAATTACTGAAATGTTCTGCAAATATTAAGTAACACGACTGATGCAGTATAAAGAAACTACAACATTTTGCAAGTTCTGAACAGTTGTTTCGGTCTGCAAAAATTTTGAGTTCTGACTTTGCTACTTGTCTTCAACTTGTCAGGAGTGAGAAGCATTCCAGCAGATTTCATGTACACATATTTACTTGAGCATAATCCTTCTCTGCAAACTGCGACTGTGACCAACTATTTTGTTGGGGATATATTCACCATAGCTATCCATCACATTTATCCTGTTTGAGGATGGCTTCTTTATTCTATAGTAGCAAGAGCTTCTATCTTCTTTGTTGAACAGGACATCTCAGCATAGTAATAATAATGAAATGGGTATCGTAGAAAAAAACTGACATACGCTGCATGGCTGGT